TATAAATTCTTGTAATATTTAATCACTTTTGATTTCATTCCAAAGATGTGAAATCATTCTTTTAAAATCTAATCAGAACTTTTTCAATTGCACATACTTAAAGAATCGCTTATCAACTAAAAAAAAAAAACGAAACTGATTGATTTTTGCATCACGCTACTAAAAATAGAGCTCTAGCATAGATTTCCCTTTCGAAATTGTCGAATGTAACCCGTGTTTGTGTAACCCGCCGTCTGACACAGCTTGCCTCATTAATCAAGATTGTGTCAAAGGAATTACCTCATTTGTGCGCTTTACATTTGCTTCACTGTGTGGGTTCTGATTGGGCTACTTAGCGACTACCTGGTTCTATTGTGCTACGATCTATTATAGTCGATTCTTCTAAATGCCAACGGCGACAGGGTATTACGCGATTGGCAGCGGGTGGTCGATGATTTGAACATATCGATAGATTAATATAGCTATATCCTATTAGATGATGTCGTTAGATTCATTATATTGTAATCTAGTGTACTTTAATGGAATTGTATATTTCCATAGTTTCTATTACTAGATTGGAGAATGATATATTTATTTTATAAAAAATATGATCTAGAGTCTGGACACTAGATTCTCTAATGTTTTATTATATTATGTTATATATAATATTATATAATTTTGATTTTTCTACTTTTTGTCTATGCCAACATTCATTTCCCAAGGACCTTTTAATTACTGTTCTCAATGAAAAGTGAAACCATTAATTTTAGAAAACTATTCAAACTAACCAACTAAATATATATCTCCGGCTTATCTATGCTAAAAACCAAGAAGCAATGCAGGATTGAAGAGTTGAGAAAACGAAGTTTACAACAGTTGCAGGTCATAAATATTGGAAGAGCCAATCAATATATATGTATATACATTGGTATATATGTATATAAAGGTATATGTGCATATATCAGTTGTGGGAAATCGTTGAACACACAAAATGCATTCAACTAGGCGGACAGACGTTGTTATTGGGTGTTCGCTGTAGCGCTTGATGTTAATAAATAGTCGCTGGGGCAAGAGATGCGACTGGACGATGTTTGCTGCTTGTTGCCACAACAAAGTTGCAAGCAAAGTTTTCTTTCGGTTCTGTTTCTTCTCTTTCTCCATCTCTCTCCCTGTCTGCGTCTCTCTACCTCTCCTTCTCTCTTGTGTCAGCCGGTTTTTGGTGCGACGGACCATTCATGGCAACTACCGTTTGGTCTTTTGTTTGAGTTTGTCTTGTGGCCGTCAGCTCGACGGAGTCTATTTGTAGATACAAGCAATACCTAACAAGCGGACACTCCAGCACTCCAACTCCAGCTCCAACTGCTGCCGCTGCCGCTGCTGCTGCTGCTGCTGCCACTGGCTCCTCTCGATCCTCGCACATACCTCTCGCATCCCTCTCGCTTCTCTTCAACTATCTCTTTCTTCGGTGGCTTGCGGTGTGTACTTAGGTCTTGTTATACTCTGTACACTGAATGCGTAAAACGAGTATATTCGGTTTGCTCATAATGCGTTTTTGAGTTTATTTGATATGATCATTGCGTGGAATATAAACGCTATTATTAAGAGTGGTATTATTAAGAGTACAAAAGATACGTCTAGATTACTCTTTGCCAGGAGCTTTTGCTAAACAAATATAATTTTACTTTACATCGAACTTATACTATTTTCGCGGATTGGAAAGAAGAGTATATTGGCTTAGCGTAAACTCTTTTGAGTAGTTCCTATATCTATATAGCATTAGAGCTGCAGAATATAAAACAGGGTTGCTCAGTTATTGTCATAAAAAGGTTTCTATTCTAGTTTTACAAGTCATAGGGATTTATAACAAAATACAAATAGATTGCAGCTTAGACTTTCCCAAATGTTACAGCATAAATTTTTTCAAATTTAATATTAGCAACATTTTAAAGAATGTATTTATAAAAAATAATTTTTAGAAATGTTTGGGAATATTAGTATACGGTTGCTGAAATTCTATCCCATCAGAATCAGTCTAAAAATCGATAAAATTTCTTAAAATCCACTCTGCAAGCAGCACTCATCTCGCTCACCAAATCCCCATTCAACTGCCCAATCAGATTCACTCTCCAAAAAGTGAGCAATGCACAGTCGCTTATGCCCGACTGGAGGGCTCTCACTTGTTCTACCTGTATCTCATGGGGGACTGTGTTGCTTCTGGGTCTCACTGCACGTTCTCAGCGCGCTATCTCAAGTGTTTTTTAAAAGTTCTTCAGCGATAAGCAATGTAACTTTATGGCCACTCGAATTCTATGCTTCAGAGTCTAGCGAGTCGGATGGATCGCTGGTGCCTGGACAGCTTAGCAAACTGCACTACACAGTCCTCATTATCATCATCATCATCATCATCATTATGATCATCAATATTATCATCATTAACATTATTATTCAGTTTGCAATGGTGCGTTGTGCACATGATGTATGTATATATGATTCATGACTTTTCACTTTTGCACGCGAGGCAAGGCAAGAAGAGTGTGGAATATGGATGAAAATACACTGCACAGTGGGCTTCAATTGAAATGTTTGATCAAAAAGATTGAGAGTAAGCATTGGAATATAGATTAGAAGTAGAACTATACTCCGGCTGTAGCTGTGAATTTTATTTAAATTAAATAAAATAAAAATTCGTGTAACTCTGAATAAACCAAAAATTTAAGATAAACAAAATTTTGAATAGAAGGAAAAAATTATATTAAAATTGAATAAAATTAATACAAAAAAAAAAAAAAAACAAAAATAATAAATTTAATAAAAATATAATGAAAAAACACTGCACAGTGGGCAAAAATTGAAATCTTTGATCACAAAAGTGGAAAGCATTGGTAAATGGATTGAAAATGAGTAGAATTACATAAAATGAAAATATTTTAAATATTAATAAAACAAAGCTATAATCGAAATAACAATATAAAAAATAAATACAAATTATAATGAGATGTTAAACAAAATTTAAATAAAAAAAGAAACAAAGTAATATAAAAAATAAAAAAAATGAATTTTATGTTTAAATATTTTCGAATAAATTTTTGTATTGACTTTAAATAGTCAACATAAATAGATGAAAATTAGAAAACTATTTTAACAATAAGACATTTAATCAGTTTGTTCTATATTAAATTATCATTTTTGTTTTTGCCCGCCAACTGTACAATTTTTACCACTGTGCGCCGCTTCGACGAGTCTGACACTTAACCCTTTGCATAAATTTTCATCATTTTTGTGGTCGGCACGTAAATTACTGTGACATTGCACATTGCAGCATCATTTTGCAATTTGTTGAATAGATTTTGTTGCATTCTGTGCCGTTTTATTGATTAGTTTTAAATTAAAGTTGAGCGGGCGAGCGGGTGGAGGAGGTGAGATGCTGCCCAAACGGGGCGGCATAAATCCCAACAATTTTCTTATTAGAAACTGTCAATGTCAGCGAATTTCACCCGAGGGATATAGAAATATATACAAATATATACATATGCATATTCAAATTTATATATATATATTTATATATATGTATATTGGTCGATGATTTATGACCCTGACTGGCCTGTTAAACATCTGTGTGAAATGGTTTGCCTGGCCTAGCAGCCTGATGGCTTTCACTGCGGCTCTCTCGCTCGCACACTTGCATTCGGCATCTGGCTCTCTCTGTCGATCATTTGGTTTGTTGGTTTTTGATGTGGCAATGAATGTGGCTTCGTTTTTTGTGGGGTCAGCCACCGCCTTGCGGGCCACCTTTCTAATGCCGAGCATTGAAAGGAGTCTGCCATCTGCGAGCGGATCATTAAAAGCTCTTTGTGCATTTTGTTTGCTTAGCGGGTAATGAAGGATTATAAATGGATTGCCGTTGATCTACCTGGTTAACCTGTCCGGATGCAATTGATCGATTGCCTGACAATCGTCAACTGGCTTACGAAAGTTGAATAAGTGGGTCAAAGTGAAATTCATTTGGCTAAAGAAGCGCATAAATTCATCAGAATGTCATTTTGCAGGTAATTCGCATTAATTGCTTGAATATTGATGAAATGATTGCATTCAATATATACTGAAGATTGATTTAAAATCAATAGCAATTTAATTACTTTTTTGGAGGCTTAATTATTAATTAAAACATCTCTCTTTCGACAAAACTAAATAAAAAATCGTATTGAATTTTAAAATGCGAAATTATACCTATGCTATATAGATAAGTATTTAAAAATATTTAACCAAAGGCTCAAGCCGCCAGTGCTCAACTCTTAGGTTAGTCTTCATTTTAGATTTTTTTCTTGCTCCAATAAATATATATAAAAAAAATATTTTTTATATTTCTAAATTAAAAAATGTTTGTTAAATCCATTAAAATTATAATAAATAATTATATATTTATCAGTTGGTAATATTTTCAACGACCGTCGGCACAGTTATTAATGCATATAAATTAAATACATAATTATTAAAGACATCAATATTTTATTATAATAGTATTTCTAACGTATTGCACTTTAATAGATATTTAAAAATATAAAAACATTATATGTATGTATATGTATTATAAAGAAAAGAAAACAGATAACGCAGACAGATTAAAAGGATGAAGATTATACATATATTCAAACATATATTTATGGCTTTTTATGAGCTCTTCTTTTAAACCAGCTTGTTTCCCCTTTTATTGAATTTTTGATACAATACCCAGTGTAGGGTATAACCAAATAAACATGCAAAATATACGTATACATTTACATATACATATACATATAGAGAAGAATCAGTATACATACATATATTGAATTCCTATTGCTATTACTAGTATACTATAAAAAATTTGTTCTATATATTCCCTATAAAATTAAATATAAGTATATCAAATAAATATTCTTCTTTATATGCATACCATATATAAGTCTTTCTTACAAGTATTCAACCTCATGAAATATGCTCCTCTCGTACAATATTATAATATTCTATACAAGGCTCTCACTTACCGCTCTCCGCTGCACTGAGGCACTTCGCTGCCGTCTCCTCGTCAAGCTCCTCGGCGGGATTGCCATGGCCAGTGTCCAAGACGCATGTCACACTGGCGGAGCCCCAGTCGAGGGCGCTGATGCCATCGTTCGATAGCAGGGATAGATCCATGGGCGGCACAGAGGCGCCACGCAACGTGCTCGCCGAGCTCATTATGTAGTTGAGCTCTAATGAGGAGTTCATGGAGCCGCCATAAATGGAGCTGGTCTGCGAGGCGCAGGTGGAGTCGAAGCTGCGATTGTTTTTGCGACGTTTCTCGGGCGTCGCATACAGCGGCTCTGGCGCCTTCTTAGGCGTGGCTGCTGGAGTGGACATCTCACTGCCAAAGGAGCTGTTCAATGTGCCATAGCACGAAGTCATCATAATGTCGTTGCGATTGAACCTGGGCTGCCAAAAGTCTTCCTCCGCATTGCCAGAGTCGGCCAGCTCAGCGTTTGCAGCCTCATGCTGCTCCTCAGCAATCAGCTCGTCCAGATAGTCGGCATCACACAAGCGCGACTCATCGATCATGGCAATGGTGTCCGGCACATCCTCTTCCTCATCCGTGTGCACCTCATCCTCATCGTCATCGCCCTCCTCGTCCTCCTCCTCCTCCTCCGTTGCGTAGTTTTTCCCAGCGTTTAGCTTTTGAAACGTCTCATCTGCCTGCTGCATGAGATCATAGGCACGCGGTATCGACGAGCCGTGCAGGGAATCGGAGTCATTCTCCTCGATGCAGGACAAGTGGCGTGTGCGAAAGCCATAGACAATGCCGCTGACAGGAATGTTGGGCGGTGGATGTATGGGCAACGGGGGCGTTTCCAGCTCCAGCTCCGCCACGTCCATTGACTGCAGCTGCATTGTGGCCATTGACATGGGGTCAGCTGCAAATTGGAAAACGTGTGCAATTAGTCCAAATGAACAACTGAAAAAGAGCTCGCTTATTGCACATTAAAACCAAAATTGAAATTGGACGCCATTTGGGGGACTTGACTTTTACGATCCACCAAATGTGCCATTAAACCACAATAGGAAATGGAAGCAAAACTCGAGCAGCTGAAGATTGAATACTCTTACTATACTTTTAAGTATAATATACTATATAATATACTATAAGCATATATACTATATAAATTTAACCGTTTAAGATCGACAAAAATTGTAGTAAATAGCAACTAATTAATAATATAATTAACAAAACAAAATAAATAAATAAATAAATAATATTAAAATTAAGAAAAATAAATTATACATAGTAAAAATTAAATTACTTAATTAAAATTCAAATTATTATTTTTTATATTATATTCCACTTAATGTATATGTATATATTTTATAAATAATATACATATATATATATAATAATAATAATTTTTGAAATATTAAAATTACAATAATAGTTGCAATAAATGTAAAACAAATCAAAAATAATAATAATTTAATTTGTTTTTTTTTTTTTTCTTTTTATTTAATCCTAATTTTATATAATTTAAGAGTCTCTAGTTTTCGTTTGTTGTTCATAATTTTAACCGCCTATATACGTTAACTTATAGTCTACATACGTAACATGTAACATGTCTAATTCTCTCTAGGCGTTACACATTTCTTGTCAACATTCGAATACCCTCTTTCTTTCTCATAAAAATGCACTAAAATGGCAACTAAACTGCGCAGCGCCAGCGGAAATGAGCTCTAGCTCTGACTATTGCTCTACTCTCTAGACTGCTCTCTCTCTCTCTCTCCCTCCCTCTCTGTCTCTCTCTCTCTGTTTTTCTGTCACTCACACTGTTTGCATTTCCTTCAGCTTTGCTCAGCTCCATGTGTGAGTTTCCTACGCTTTTGTGTATCTTTAGGTGCGAGCTTGTAAATGATAAGCCTATGGCTTTAATGCATCTTAATGCCAGCGCAATGTGAAATTGTTTCAACATAAATCTGGCAGCGCACACGCCTGGTAGCCAGGCAAAACACACACACACACACATACACACACTCACTCACTCAAAGTGAGTGCGTGAATGAGAGAGAGAGAGAGAGAGAGGTGGGAGACGGAAGTGGACTCACGATAGATGCGCACGCAACTTCCCCCATTTATGGGCAACTCCATTTGGTTGCCCCCTGCAACGATTCTGTGCGGCCTGTCTGCCTAGCAGTGGAGGGAGGCTGAACGCGCGCGCGCCTCTGCTGCTGCTGCTGCTGCTGCTCTTGTTGTTGCTGTTGTTGTTATTGTTGACGGTACATGGAACTCGTAATAGTTCTGCTAGCGTCAGCGTTGACGTTTGCCGTTGCATTTCCACTGTCAACATGCAATGTCGACGCACTCTTGACATTTCCAGACGCTGCTCAAGTAGCTCTGCTTGTTGTTGTTGTTGTTGTTGGTGTTCGCTCATCTAATGTTCACTATTTTTAATTTGCGAGCCCATGGGGAAAAACTATCACAAAGCGCACGCGCTGCAGTTGCAGTTGCATTTTCACTTGGCATCGCTTTTTGTGTTTGCCATAAACAAAGAAATTTTGCATTTTTCTGTTTATAGCACGCTTTATGTTTGTTATCGATGTTCAATTGAAAAGTATCGATGCCAATGGCGTTTGCCATTGATCAGGCACTTTGTTTGTTTGCCACTGTCGCTCTGTTGTCACGTCCAACAGCTGCCGTTATGTATGTATATTTATGTATATGTATGTACACTGCGCGCCCAATTGTATGCCTAAAAACACCTGTACAAATGGCTAAGTAAACTTCTTATTGCAAAATTATGCGCAAGGAGACGCATAATTTGCTAATTAGCAATTATGGGCTGCCAACTTGTTTTAATGCTTTTTCGAAACTTGCTCAAGCTGAAAATTGGATATGAAATGGCAAATTTGATTCTAATTGGAACTAGTTGGAAATTGTGCAAATGACCTTTGCGACTTTGGAATGAATCTAAAATGAACGACTTCAAGTGAACCAGCTTCTGCTTTGTAAAGTAAGGCTCTAATAAACCCAAAATCTGCTGCAAGTTTAAGGAATTACTGTCATATGTTATCTAAAATAAACTACATAAACTACGATCTACTAAAAATGAAATCATGCGAACTATATATGAACTATGTAGTCAGCTTATTAAGAACTCTGACTTACTCTCTTTTGATTCGTGTCGCTGTTTGTCTCGTTGGCTCTATATTTCATATTATTATTTTATATTTGTATAGATTATTTTCTTCAGTGTAGGCTGCACAGAAAAACTAACGCAACAAACAAATTACTCGAGGCGACAAAACAATGCTGGGCTTGGCTAGGCCAAAAATAGATCAAGCAAACTATCGGCTCGGGAACGGGAGCTGGATCGGCAATGCTCATAGGCAGAGGAACTAAGGCAATGTTGTTGTTGCCGTTCGTGTTATTGTTGTTGTCGTGCGCCAAAGCGGGAAATAGCATCGGGGAACAGTTGGGAACAGCAGCAGCAGCAGCAGAAGTCAAGGATCCCCAGCAAACTGCATTAAACTACTTTCGGCATTCAGTTTATTGCGTCGTCTCGTCGTATGTTTCTACTTTTAGCTGCTGGGAGTCCGCCCCATCCCCGAGTCTAACTGTGAGAGAATCTTGAACTTGTGCTGCGTTCACTCTTTTGCTTGTTGTTTACGTTTTTCCTTAGGTTTTTCTTTATTGTTTTTTTTTTTTCTCCATCGTTTTTTTTTTTTTTTTTTTTTTTTTTGTCGTTTGTTCTTTTCTTTTGTGGAAAGTGAAATGGAAAGGAGGAGAAAGGGGAGCTGCTGGCGACATATTTCAGTCGTATTTTCCAATTTAAATTGAAGCTGTTTTTGTTCCAGACATTGGCACTTAAATGCTTTGGGATGTGGTCACTCATTGGCGCTATATTTGGTATGCTGGCAGCATTTGATGCAACATGGAAGAGGCATGCTAATTCTGTCAGCCAGCCCTGACATCAAATTACATTCGCATTACTCATTTACCAGGGGCAAAGAGGCAGTGCAAGCAACAGTAATCAATGTAGGGTATACAATAGACAATGTAGAGAATACTCAAATTAAATAAGAAATACTTATAATATATACATATCTGTATATTGATCTACTATTAAATATATCTAAATAAATATATCTAATATCTATATTTGATCTAGTTTTATATTTATTTATTTAAAGTAAAATTTTAAAGCCCACTTATGATTTTTTAAAATTTGTAAAAAGTATTTTTAATTTTTAATCTTTCCCATATTTTTTTTGTCTGTTTTTTACTTATTATGTAATTTTAAAAAATCACGTGTAAGTAATTCCATTTATTTTAAATCAGTTTCTGATTTTTATTACAAAATTTCAATAATATTTTCATGCTCCATTTTAGTAGTGTTTAATTACATATATACATAATAAAAATTTGTTAAATATTTTGTTCCTTTAATATTCGGTTTTATATTTAAATGTATTCGGAGCTTAAAAATAAATATTTATAAAATTAAATTAAAAGAATACTTTAAATATATAAAAATAAATAAATAAAATATTATTTCTATAAAATAAATAGCTCATATTAAATATATAAAATTTATGTTTTAAATATTATTTATTTTTAACCCAATAATAATTTCATACATACCTTTATAAATATATTTAAACTAAAAATGTATATATTCCTTTCCGTTTTGAATAATTTTAGAAATAGAGTAAATTCCAAAATCCTCGCCGATTTGTTTTATGTTTGTGCATTAAGATATTTATTATATGAGTTTTAACACTAAATTTATTTATATGTTTATATGAGTTATCCTCTTTGGATATTTTTGTGGTATGTTTTATTAGGAACCGAGCACAATTGTTTATCACTAATGCTTAAATTTCGTATACATCACACTCACTGATAATCCAAGGCACAGCATTAATTTTTGGAAATCGTATACGTATATCAATATCTATATCCGTTTCGAATTGGCTGCCGTATCTCTTTCTCTCTTTCTATACCGAACGCGCGTTGGAATGCAATTGAATTGATGCTCGAGCTGTGCCACTGCGTGCAGCCCCAAGCATCAGCCCTCGGCAACAAGAGACCCTCGGCTCCTAACTAGACGAGGCCAGGGAAGACAGGCAGATCAGCACGAAGGCGAAGACGAAGACGAAGACGAAGACGAGAGCTGTCTAAAAATAGTTCCAGCCGTATTGGACGTGCAGTCGACGCGGGTCCGTCACTTCTCTGTTAGATTCCTTACCTCGGCAGACGCTGTGTCTGTCTATTTCTATGGAGCTCGGCAATATGCAAATCCCACTGTTTTCCTTTCGCTGACAAATCTGTTTAGAGAAGTATAAAAGTGATAGTTCTTGTAAGTGATATATGTAGATTTAAATATATAATATTGCCAATGATATTTTCTAGACAAATCATTTTCCAAAAAACTTTAGCAGAAATACATTTTATATGTTCGTTATTTGTTTATTATTAAAATTCCTTTTAATTAATCTCAGTTATAAAATATTTTACACTATTAATGTTCTAAATGAGCCTATATAATTACTCCAAATCATTCAATTAAATGTATATAATCTTTACAAAGTATAAAACAGAAAATATTTCAAATACACATCAACAGCTTTTCTATTTTATATTTTAGTTAAGTTTTCCAGTTTTAAGTTTTAGATAACTATAAAAAAAAATATAGTAATCAATGAAATTGGTATAATATGATTTCAAAGTTATATACCAAGTGTACCTCTCTTAATATAATAGTAATATTATAAAGCATAGCTAAAAGCCCGAATACCCGTAGTATGAATAGAAATAAATGAGATTAGGTTAGCAATACGAATGACATAGTATGTAAAGAAAGTTAAATTGATTTTTGATTAACAAATCTTTAATTGCACAACAATAAATAGAAATATAACTTAAATAACGAAACACACAGCTCTCAGACA